GCCTCTGTGTGTGAATACATATGTATGTATGTGTGTGTATGTATGTATGCATGCATGTATCTGTGTGCATGTGCATATGTGTATGTGTGTGTCTGTGTGTGGTGTGTGTGTGTGTGTGTGTGTGTGCCATAGCATATATTTCTAGACCAGAGGACAGGTTGTAAGAGTTAGTTCTCTTCCACCATGTGGGTTGTCAGACTTAGTGGCAAGCACCTTTATTCTCTGCACTACTTCACCAGTCTATATGCAGTATTTTAAAAATTTCAGTCTAAGTATGCACGAATAAGGCAGTGTGAATTATGAAAAGAACTGACCAGTGTACTAACACTTGAAATGAACACTAATTGAAATGAGATAAATTCTCACTTCTTCCAGCTGGGTGCGTGGTCTTCATCATTACCTCCATTGGAGAGTTAAGTAGCTGGTAGCAACGCCATCTTCTGTCCAGCAGTTACTTTGTGTTACAAGGACATTCCGTGGGACAATGAGGTATAAACAGTCTCTAGACACTGGTTCTTGCCCCCAGCATAACCTAAAGCAACAGGAACAGTGCTGAACCAGGCTCATCCTGATGTCCCTGTGTATGTCTACACTTCTCCATCATTTACAAGGTCTGAAAGCAAGCTTGTGTTTATCATTCCTGGCTTGCCACTTGGCACCTGTAAAGCCAGTATCTATCTAATCTGTATTTCATTACAAAGTGTGAATAGTTCTCCTGAGTACTCTGCATCCCCAGATGAACTTCTGTCCTGGAAGATTCTATATTCTCTCAGTTAAAAACAAAACAAAAACCAAAACCAAACCTTCCTATTGGAAAAACAAGAGACTTATTTATGACTCTCACAAACACTGACATCCAGAAAGGAAGGGAAATCTTCTGGCAGTGCACAGCAAACGGGATCAGAAGATTAGCTCTGATTAACTCAGCCTGTGCCTCTGACTTATTTCACAGCAGCAAGGGCAGAAGTCCTTGGCTGTGTTAACCATATTTGGATGGCATATCAAGTTTTATAGAAATCATTCCCAGATTGCTATTTTGTTTCCGGCACGATAATACAACTAATTCATCAGGAGAATGAGCAAACCAGGCTTGGTCAGGAGCCAGGCTTCCTCTGCTGAAACAGGCACCCCCAAGCTCTTCCTGGGTCTGGAAAGGGCTCCACTAGCCTCTTCTTTGCATGCTTGGCTTCTGAATTCAGTTGGCCACTAACAAGCACATGATTGGTGTAGATGCTCAACACAACAGGAAACAGAAGTAAGAGACACCTCTCCTGGGTACTTACCTGCCCATCTTTCCAGGACAGTATGCTTTTCTAAATTCCCTAAACACATATGCACAGCAACACAACACACACATTCCCTATAAAACATCTTGATGGCGAGGAAAGTGATATGATGTGGGTCTGGTGTAGGACTCTCCAGAGGACTTGGGATCCTTGACTCAAACAGTAAATTGATTTTGGCAGCAATGAAGAGAGAGGTTCTCTCGAGCAGTTAGAAAACCATTCTGAGCTGTAGGGGTGAATTGATTACTGTCTCCTCTGCACTAGGGTTGACTCATTTCTACCCTTGTGTTCTGGCAGGATGGGGAAACTTGGTCAGAATCACACAGTAAGAGATGAGAAGTGGAGTCGTTGTGGTGACAGGGAGAGAAGTGGATATGGGACCTTAAATAGAGTCGCGTATAAAATTGTTATCAGTTGGTTCTGGGTATGAAACTCCAAAATTCATTCGCCTTCTACCATATAGAAGGGCAGATACCTACCAGACAAAGAAGAGATCACAAAAATTCACTGAGCCTACCTTAGACCAATGTGTGTATGTACACCACCTATCCCAAGTGGCATTTAGAAAGCCACTATGTATTGGTAGTTATTGAGTTCCATTGAGGTTCATTCTGAAAACTCTCTTGACTTACACAGACAACACAACTTAAATGATGAACTGACAATAAATACCAATCCTAAGTTTAACTTAAATATTTCCATACTTCTATAAATTGTATCACTTATGTTTATTATTATTTATATTGTTATATAATTAATATATAATATTATATGTTTATTTTGGGAGTGACAGGGAAGGAGGCTGATTATTTATTATTATTACTATTATTATTATTAATTCCACATACTCAAGTTTTATCTCACGTGTCTGTCTTTGTTACATTCTGCTGCAGCAAGATACCTGATCCAAGCAACTTAGAGAAGAGAGGGTTTCCTCTTGTTTACAGTTCCAAACAGATATGACTCATCATGGCAGGAAAGGAGGGGAGCCTGAGCATGAGCCAGTTTATCACATTGCATCAATGGTCAGGAATCAGAAAACAAGGAGTTGGGTCAGCCTATAGAGCCTTGAGGTCTGCCCTCCAACAAGGCTCCTCCTCCTAAGGGTTGCGTCAGAACCTTCCCACACAGCACCAGCAACTAGGAACTACGTATTCAAACATATGGGCCTCTGGAGGACATTTCACTTGAAAACCACAACACTAGCGCAGGAGGAATCACACAAATAATAAGTGACCTCTCAAAGTCCTCTCATATTGTCAAAAGCAGAGAGAGTCAGGAAGTTGGGATTAGTAGTATCTCTAATTAGGGTGTAAGCTACTTAAGAAGATGCATCAGACTGAGGAAGGTCACAGAGAGTAATCCAGAAAAATCTCCATTCTTTTGTGTTCTTATAACATAGTGCACCCCATCATGAAGTCCCACCATCCTTCCGTTGAGTGCCCAAATTTAAATCAGAATATCCTGAACAACGTGTCCCTCCAGAGAAAGCCATGCTGTGAGTAGCAGCAAAATATAGCTTTTCTGACTCCAGTGTCTTCCTTACACTCAGGATCGACTTATTGCCTGGGACAGAGGGTCAACCAAGTAGATATTCAATTTATAGGCTTTGACTTTTGTCTCTTTAACCCTCACCATAAGTTAGTGAGGAAACTAGTAACATCTGTAATGCAATGTGTAACTATTCTATTTCCTGAGCACAGTGCATGTGCCAGCATTTGGCTAGCATCCTGAACACAAGGTAAATCCAAGCATCCACATCTGATGGGAGTGCCATGCACTCTGGTGGTGTGTTTCATGGGGACTGAGGGTGAGGTTATTGTTTGTACTATTATTTATTCTGGGAATAGGGTAAGATTTTAAAAAGAAATTTAAAGATTTGATATTTTAAAGAAGATGAGTCTGGTGCCTTTTATACTTTTAAAATGTTATATATTTGAACAATTTCTTTCTTCAAAAGAGCATTGGAAGTGTCTTCAAAGATAAAACTATAACACATTCATTTCCCTTCAAACACAAATATGATTTAACTTGTACTCACTTATGTCAGTGGTAATGCATTCACTTTTTAATTTTCTTAAGAAATAATTGGGTAGATAAAAATGTATTTATATATGCAAGTCATGGTTTTTTACTCTAGTAGTTTAAAAATTGTTAGGAGGAATTGCAAACACTCATAGCAACGAAGCAAATCACCAAATTCTTCTATCCATCACACAGCTCCATCAACTGTGGTCAGTTCTTAACCATGAATTATGATCTCCTGACAATGTGTATATGATAATAAAATTGATTCAGAAGGAACTGAAGTATTTAATTAAGTCTCAAAGAAACTGAATCAATGCTAAACATTGAATTGTTGATCAATATGTATTGATAGTTCTATTTCTAGATTTATACATTAGATATAATACTAATGCATACTTAAAACATGTAAAGATTATATTGCCCATCTAGAGTGTCATGGCAAATACCATTGGATTCATGTTAGTTCTAAAATTTACAGTGGTAGTCATTATAATTAGGTAAAAGTTTAAAGACACTTGCAACGTATTTGGCATAACTCTAACACCTCTCTAGATGGTTTAACGCTACATAGTGAGCTTATGAATTTAAAGAATGCTCCTCTGTTGAGTGTTGATGTGGTAGATACTGCTGATAAAATTTCCCATGGCCTGAGGTCAGTATTTCTATTTTGATCAAGCTTCAAGATGGCATATATAGCTCGATCATGCTAGCCCTTTTTGTCCTGGGAATACTTTCATTCCTGTCCATCGTGTTAAAGCTTGTCTTTAACAACATCAACATGTTGGCAGCCAAAGTACATGGCTTGAACCTAAAAATGGACCCCTAGACAGAGTTATTAAATTAACAAGCTGGCAAGCCAAGATTCTGCACAGAGCCTTACCAACCTAAGACAAAAAGTACATTGCTTTTGATAATGCATATTCCATGATGGGTAAGGAAAGAATTCTTGTCAGAATGACCTAACACAGGCTCAGTCTTGTTTATGAAATAAAAAAGGGGGAGAGGCCGAGAGCCTTTGAGGCTGCTTGGCAAGAATCTGACATGGGCCAAGGACAAGGAAGTGGACTTCAGGCAGGAATATGACATTAGGCTAGAACAAAGAAGTAATTTCAGGCAGGAATCTAAATATTAGGGTAGAACAAGGAAGTAGGCTTCAGGCATGAAAATGACTTTGGGCTAGGACAGGAAAGTTGGCTCAGATATTTTGGTCATCCTGATAAGCCCTTAGAAACAGTGATCACAGGAGTGTTCACGGAACTTTGCCTTGTTTATTGTCTTGTTTGTTCTTTGACTATTTGTGTTTAATGTCTTGCTTGTTCCTTGACTATTTGCATCTATTGTATTGGCTAGTCCCTCAACCTAGAACTGACCTTAATACTTGCATGTAATCAAAATGGAATAAAAGCAAAAAGGTGGAGGTTGGATGGGATAGGGGGGTTTCTAGGGAGGGGAAATGGGAAAAGGGGATGGCATCTGAAATGTAAATAAATAAAATATCCAATAAAAAAGAATATATTGTCAAAGTATAGACCACACGAGGGATATACTCTCCCAAAAAAGATTCTTTTAAGTTCCAGAGTTCTCAAAAATGCTTCTAATAAACCTGAGTAAGTGCAAAATAACTCCCACATGATCACCAGAGGAGTAAATAGAGCAGCATTTTTCCTGTCAAAAACTGGAAACAACTCTAACCCTAAGGGCATTGCAGGTGTGGTTGTGTCACATGTGTGTCAGTAAGTGGCAGAGAGAAGAGAGGCTATGTCTACACTCAGGGTTCTAATCTGTGAACATCTGAATGATTAGTAGTCTAACATTACCTGAAAAAAAAGCAAGCCTGAGACAACCACCAGTCCTGTGCCAGTGGGCCTGGACAGGAGCTAGCCGGAGACAACCACCAATTTGCTTCTGCATGGGCCTGAATGGGTTCCCAGGACTGGGAGCAGGCTGGAGAAGAGTCAAACTCTGCCTGGGGTCCATGAGGTTTAGCAGGAGCAAGGCAGAGACGACAAGAAACCTGCCTGGAACCAAGAGTCCCGGTAGGAGTGAGTTTGACACAGAAGACCCCCACATGGGCCCATGTGGTCAGGCTTGGGAGTGGAGAGCCCAAGATGACCAGCAGCTGGTGCCATGGAGCCCAGATAGTGAGCTAGCATACAGTGGCCACACCCTCACAGGCCTGGGGAGAAGACTATGCCTGAAACGCTCCCTGCCTGGTGCCATAATGCACAGGTTGGGCATAGCACTCCTGAGATGACCCCAGACCCTCAGAGTCCCTGGGTGCCACTGAGAGAAGCAAGTAAGCGATGGATAAATGGAAGAGAAAGAGAAACAGGAGGATGTAGGCACTACAAGGAGAGGCAGATCTGGAGACATGAACAGCCTGATGTGAATAGGCGTGATGTCACCTGGGACCATTAGGGTCCTCCCCTATGCTACCACAGGAGGCCATAGACCTGCAGCAGCAAATTTCTGTTAGCTCCAAAGGCCAGGTGGATGTCCCTGGTCTGGGCTGCTCTCCAGGGACATGTTGATGTCTGAGTGTTGTACAGAACTGGCCCTCCCCCTCACCTGGGCATCATGGAAGAGCTGTCCCTGTGGCATGAAAGAAGGAGACCCAACTTCACCCCTAGTCAGCTGCAGAACTCGGGAGAGAGGCCCACACTTTGCCCAGGAAGCACTGTAGAGCTGGCCCTGGCTGAGGGAGTTTTGGGTGAGCCAACCTCAGAGGGAGAGTTGGCCCTGCCACTTGTCTGCTGTGCAATGGCATGGACTAGGGAGAGATACCCTCCTCCCTTCTCAGCACCTGCACTAGGCAGGAGAGCTGGCCCTGCCTACGAGTTATGAGATCAGTTGAGCTGGCCTCGAGTGTAGGGATTGTGGCTAAGCCAGCTCCAAGGGCATGAGCATAGGAGAGCTGGCCCTGCCTACAAGTTATGAGATCAGTTGAGCTGGCCTCGAGTGTAGGGATTGTGGTGAAGCCAGCTCCAAGGGCACGAGCATAGGAGAGCTGGCTCTGCCTCTTGTCTCCTGTGTGGTAGTGTTTGTAAGTGAGATTCCCCTCCCCTCCCTTTTGCCCTGCCAGGGTCACGTGAGCAGGAGGGCTGTCCCTGTCCCTCACCTGCTGCCCACTCACTGCACCTCACCTGGGCATCACAGAAGAGCTGACTCCAGACATGGGGACTGCAGGTGAGCTAGCCCCGAAGGTACGAGCATGGGAGAGCTGACCCTGACTCTTGTTTGCTGTGCAGTGGCACTGACAAGGAAAGATGCCCTCTTCCCCATCCTTGTCCCTCACTACCTATGGCAGATGGAGGAATTGGCTCTGAGGTCATGAGAGAAGTGGCCCTGCCTCTCACCAGTGTTAGCACTCGGTAGAGCAGGCCCTGTGCCTCACCTAGGCAGCACAATAGAGCTGGCATGGATATGAATGATCCAGCCCTGAAGGCATAAAAGCAGAGCTCACTCTGCCCCTTGCTGGTGGCAGCATTGAACGGGCCATCCAGAGCAGGAGAGGAGAGCTTGCCCAGTGGTGTATGTGAGAGAGAGCTGACAGGCTGACCAGCTCAGATACCTCTCCAGCCCAGATCCAGGGCTGTGCATTGGTCCACCCCAACGTGTATCCTGTCAATGAACTTCTGGAGTACGTGAAGGGGCCTGTCCTACGGATCCAAAACCACAGGATCTCCATGACACTAGGTAACAGCAAGACATCTGAAAGGAACCCAGGTTCTGGTATTGATAGAGTAGCATAAGCGAGGGGCTGTTGTGCCTGGAAGTGTTCATGAATCCCAAAAGACCACTGAGGCGCCAACTCCAATGTAGTCACACTAGGGTCTATTTCTTATAAACTCAAGTTTGGGTTTACTGTGGGTCACAGACCCACAGGATGGTTTGGTGAAGCAGCCCTGAAGTTTCACTGGGACAAGGTTTTATAAGAAAATGGGACCAAGTGAGGGGATGTCCAACTTGTCAAGTATCTAATTGATGCTGACATCTATTGTAAGCTGACAGGTGCGTGCTCTGAAGCAAGACTGTATACAATCATGAGTGGTCTGAAAGTGCATCTGAAACAATCCGACTAATCTTTGATTAACTGTTGCTAGGAAGTAGCTACAGAGTAACTCTAGCCAAAGACAAGTGTGGGGTCCTATAGGACATCATCACTTAGAGCTGCAGATGGTCCATGTTCACCAGGATGCTTGCAAGCTGCCATGGTCCAGAATCATGAAAATTGTGACACACCTTCCTGGCCTCTGGAAAGATCAAAGTTTGTTTGCTTTGTATTTGCAAAGTAGCTTTTGCTAACTGCCTTTGCTTCTTGGGACATCAAATAGTCACAGATCTTAGCAGATGCATACATACCACGTTGGCTCTGGGTAAGCAATCTTTTATTATGATCTTTAATATTGATATCAGAATACTGATACATTGCAAATTTGGTTCTAGTTTACTTTTATTTAATTTCTGCTATGATTCACCGGCCAAGTGTAGCTATTTTCTTGGAAAGCTGAAAACTCCCTTGTCTCCCATAAAGAAAGTCTTAGTGGCTTCCATTTCCTGCCTTGGCTCTGTCTCTAATAAAGCGTCATCTTACTGAGCAGTGGGGAGATTGATTTTTTCCTTGCAGGCCTACGGTGTTAAGAAAGACTTCATTTTTTGAGAAGGTGTTCAAACTCCACTTGCTTGCTTATGAAGATATTTTTAGAAAATTTTTGAGTTCTTTATAAGAAGAATTTTGGTTCTTTCTCTTAATCTACGTCCTTACTTTGAACATAGATTATCCATTATTCTGCGGTTTGTCAAGATTCCTACATTTTTCATTTTAACCTCATTTTCTGCTTCATGGGTTTCCATTCTGAGATGGAGATAAATCATGCTGTCCCAACCCGTTTGTAGAGTATTAATCATCTAGTTCTCTTCGACGGGCTGCCCACGAGGTTGCCTGTTCACATCTGCTCCTTCCTCTCTCACGTGAGGCACAGCCTACTTCTGTTCTCTATTTCCTTTCAAAATCAAAAGTAAAACGGTAGCTTTCCTCGTGGCATTCCTCCAGACTTATATCACATATTATGTGGATTTGGGAGACACTGCCATTTTTGTTCACCTTGGGTGTCTCAGAGTATTTCATATCTTTCCTTCACCCTGAAGGAAAGCAGTGACCTCCTGAACTCATTCCTTCAAGCTTGCCTTCTCATGAAATCACGTGGCTCTGAAGTGTCTTCGGGGCACAGACAACCTGATTTCATTTATCAGCTAATCTACAGATAAACCTAGCGGTATTTGCTGTGGTGGGATAGAGAGGGAGATTTATTTGTAAAGCAAATAAAAATCAATGAACAAAACTTTTATGCTCTTAAGATAGGATGGCCAGAGAAACTTGTTTTTAAAAATGTGATTCTTCTCTGAGATCTCAGTGTGGTAAAGCATGCTTGTCACCTCAGAACTCAGGACATGGAACAAAGAAGGTCGGGGGTTCAAGGTTAGTCTCAGCCACAGAGCAAGTTTGAGGCCAGTCGTGACTAGTAAGACACTCTCAAAAACCAAAAACAAACAAACAAAATCACGAATCTATATTTATATATCTCATGAAGACATGATCACTTCTAAAGTAACCATAAAATGTCTTTCACATTAGAGTTAAGATAAGAACTATTAATGTGTTGTACAAGCCATCTGACAATGTATTTCTAGTTATATTACCTTAGTTACATATATGTATTACATTAGTTACATATAAGTATTACATATATGTGACTATATGTGTAGTTACATAATAATATCATTGATATGCCCTCATAGTCCTTTGCATTTTGGCTTATATTAATGAGCATGGTAAGCAGCCCTGTCCCCTCTTGTAGATGAAAAGAAAGAAAGAAAGAAAGAAAGAAAGAAAGAAAGAAAGAAAGAAAGGAAGGAAGGAAGGAAGGAAGGAAGGAAGGAAGGAAGAAAGAAAGAGTAGCTGAGCTTTTTTCCCCAAAGTCATGCTTTTGGAGACTGTCAGTTGGCTTTTGGTTTTGTTTTGTTTGGTTTTGTTTTGCTTTTCCTTGAGACTATGGTTTCTCCTGTCATTTCCATAGACAAGAGCATTATAAGAGTCATTTCAGGTACTTTGAACTGTGTCGGTGGGGCAGGATGGGGAGGTGGTGGCCTGAGCCTCCCAGTGACAAGAGGGTCAGCTGAAGTCACTTTCATCCTCCTTGTCCCTTCCCCCAACACCATCCTCCTTGTCCCTCCCTCCACACCCCCACCTATCACTGTCTTTTTTTCTCGTTCCACTTCTTGCCATGCCCAGACACTACATTCTGCCATCTTTTTTTCTCCATGGACCTTTCTTCTAAGCCTTCTTTTCTCTACATTAAAGCTTCTGATTCATGCTGGAAGACATTTTCTCCCTGAGCTCACTTAAGACAGTTGGTGATTCTCCAAGAGATTGCTTTCTGTTGAGACCGGTCTCAGTGAGCTTTGTGCTTTACTATGTTCCCCTCAGACTCTGTACTGCTGCCTTGACATGCATTTAGGCTTGACATCAAGTTGTTTACTTAACTTTTTGGTTTTTTGATGTTTTTGTTCCAGGCAGGGTCTTGTAATGGGATCCAGGTTAACCTGAAACTTGCTATATAACCCAGGAAGGCCCAGAATTCGAGATCCCCATGCCTCAGCTTCCTCAGTGCTGGGATTACTGGTGAGCACCACCAGATGGCACACTGTTTAAAACACCCCCTCGGTGTATTTGATCCTTATCCAGGGCCTGGGCCTAACTCGCTCCCAAGCTACCAACCATAAAACCCTAATGGCCAACATGAGACCCAAATAAA